TTCTGGCGATTTTTAGAACGCCTCAAACGGATTCCCAGAACTCTAGTTATGATCGTTTTCGCGCAGACTGCTAAAGCTGAAAAATAAAGTGCGAAAATCAAATTAAACCAAAAATAAAATAAAATATAAAAACATAATAAAACATAAAAATAATCAAGATAAAGTAAAGAAATGCCTAAGTAAAAATTTAGGAGAATGTGCATAAATATGAACTGATCAAATTCCTCCACACTTGAACTTTTGCATTCCGAGCAAAATTAAAATAAAACAAAACAAAGAAAGCACAAACACATCAACAGTTACTCATTTCAGGCTACAAGTCTTCTTCGGTTAAGTTTGCATCGATGGATTTGGATCCTCTCCTTTTTTATATATCATGCCATCTCTCATGTTTCTAATCTAACGGTTTAGAATTTATAATAAATAATTAAATAAAAAATGCCATTTAATAGGAGAGAGAAATAGATAAGTAATTTGTCTTTGTTATTTATTTAATTATTCATTATAAATTCTGAACCATTAGATTAGAAACATGATAGATGACATGATATATAAAAAAGGAGAGGATCTAAATCCTGCATCGATAGGTACTAATCTTACACACTAAGGATATTGTAGGAACACTAATCCACAATTGTGTAGTCATAAACCTCCTAAATATACAAATCAACTCGAATCATGTTATTATGCTGAAGGCTAACTTACTCTTCCTCTTTTTTACTCTTTTTCATTCAGGTGCAATCACATTAAGCCCGTTATCTCCACACACTCATAGCAAGGAGACCTGTTAGTGACTCTGATCCTTTTTGTTTGGGGTTCTGGTACTTACGTGGCATAACCCTTTGCTGACTCAATTGTAGTTGTGGGGGATCGGACCGTAAAAAAAGTTTTGATAGAATTGACGTTAGAACTCTTCACATTTAATCAAAATTGAATCAATCTTCCTAATGTTTTATCATATTCATCTTTATTGTTTGTGAAATAATCTATTATTAACATGATCAAAATTAGTATAATTTTTACATTTTTCCATCAAATCTTCTGCTCACATTTTTTTTTGTAAATACCCTAATAATTTTCATAAATGGCTGAGTTTTTCCAATACTCATATACAACATAATTATTCTGAAATAAAAATTGTCTAAGTTAATCTAACTAATATCTGTATACTCTAATACACTTAAAAATCTAACGATGGAGAATATAAGAAAAATATATTAAATTAAAAACAAATAAATGTTGACCGCTATAGACTAAATTCGTGATTGGTAAGTGATGAAAAACAAAAATTGATCAAACTAAGACTCAAGAGTAGATTCAATTTTAATTTAGTTTTTCTATAAAATTTTTAAACTATAGTTTGTTTAATTATATTTAAAAATTAATCTAAATTAAAGGAATTGACCTCTATTGTTCCTTTTTAATTTTAAAAAGAAAATTTTTAAAATGATATTTATAGTTTACAAATACGCCAAAATTGGTTTTTTGTATCGCCTACTTTAATAGTGCTATTAAAAAAAGAAACAAACATATTTATAATAGCGCTTTATAGTAAAGCGCTATTAAAGAGTACAGAGAATATGATTTTGATAGCACTTTGTAAAAAAGCGCTATTATAGATATTTACTAAGATAGCGCTTTTCTAAAAAGCGCTATTAAAATGTTGTATTACAATAGCACTTTTATAAAAGCGCTATTATTAAAAGAACTACGATAGCGCTTTTTAAAAATCTCTATTAAAATATGTAACTACAATAGCGCTTTCTATGGAACCGCTATCGTTTCTATAATTGTGTTTCAAGATAGCGCTTTTTTAAAAAGCGCTATTAAAATATTCCACTAAATTAAATTAATTAAAATATGAAAACCTGGCCCAAATGTTTTTCGTTTTCTCCCACGCAAAATTCTTTCTCCCACGCAAAATTCATCAGCTCACCACCACAAAATTCATCAGCTCACCCATGTAAAATTCTTTCTCCCACGCAAAATTCATCAGCTCACCACCGTCATCCTTCTCCGTCGAAAGGAGCCGCCGTTATCAGCTCACCACCGTCATCCTTCTCCGTCGAAAGGAGCCGCCGTCATCAGCTCACCACCGTCACCCTTCTCTTCATTGATATCCGGTAATCTTCTTTTTCTCAGATTATTGCTTTGTGTTAAATTGTAAAATTAGGGATTTGAATGCTTTGTGTTGTAATTATGACCGGTAAAATTAGGGATTTGAATGCTTTGTGTTGTAATTTGTGTTAGTAATTTGAATGCTTTACGCCATGGCTTTCTCTTCAAACCCCAATCCCCAATAACACCAATGAATCGTTGTTGGAAGTTTCATCGAAGAATACACTAACCGCGTCGATATCCTCTCTTTCAACCCCGATACTCTCTCCATTAAACCTCAACCTTCACTTTCATTCGATCACCCTTATCCACCTACCAAACTCATGTTCCACCCCGCAACCCATTCACCCCTTCAGAAAACATCCTCCGACCTCCTCGCTACCTCCGGAGACTATCTCTGCCTCTGGGAAGTTCGTGAGAATTTCGTCGAGGCTCTTTCACTTTTTAGCAACAGCAAAACCAACGAGTTTTGTGCTCCGTTAACCTCTTTCGACTGGAACGAAATTGAGCTGAAACGCATCGGAACTTCGAGTATAAACACGACTTGTACTATCTGGGACATTGAAAGAGGGGTTGTAGAAACTCAGCTTATTGCACATGATAAAGAGGTTTACGATATAGCTTGGCGGGAATCGAGAGTTTTCGCTTCTGTTTCTGCTGATGGGTCTGTTAGGATCTTTGATCTAAGAGAGAAACAACATTCTACTATTATCTATGAGAGTCCTCAACCAGACACCCCTTTGCTTCGTTTGGCTTGGAATAAGAAGGATTTGAGATACATGGCAACTATTTTGATGGATAGTAATAAATTTGTGATTTTGGATATTCAATCACCAACCATGCCTGTGGCGGAATTGGAGAGGCATCGTGCTGGTGTTAATGCCATTGCTTGGGCTCCAAGAAGCTCTAAGCATATTTGTTCGGCCGGAGATGATACCCAGGATCTTATGTGGGAGTTGCCTATTGTGGCTGGTCCAAATGGGATTGATCCAATGTCTATGTATTCTTCTGGCTATGAAATTAATCAGCTTCAGTGGTCTGCTGCTCAGCCGGATTGGATTGCAATTGCTTTTGCAAACAAGATGCAGCTTTTGAGGGTTTGAATTTCAGGTCAGGGAATAACTTGCTTGTAGTTTTGGAAAACCAAATTACTCATTGCAGTGTTGTGAGTTGTGACTCATATGTATTGAGTAGTCTAGTTTAACTTGGTCATGCATTAATTAGAGACGAGCCGATGACTCTTATGCTTATGCCTTATACTTTAGTACTGTCTAATGTATGCAATGGCTTCTTTTGGTGGCCTTAAACTACCACTATCTATCATATATAAGAGTGTTTTACTTATAGCTGAAATTGATGTTGCATTTGCTTGTTGAATGAATGGTGGAATTTACCAGGTTAATATTGTAATTGCTGCTCTTCTAGATGATCCGTGTTAAATTTTAAAGTTGTTTCTGTTTTGTATTCTTATGGAGCACCTTTGTATGTATGTCTCTGTAGTAATTTTAATCACTGTTGACACTTCATTAGTTTTTGAGAAAGATGGTTTATATGTCGGAGTGGTGACAATGTAATAAATGTTTGTTTATTAAACTTTGCTAAAGCCTTCCTTCATGCCATTTATGTAGATATTTAGTCAATGAAGTATACTTGTATTCCTCAGTTTTAAGAGCTGCAGTGTCACACTGGATTGGATTGATTAGTTTTTGGTAAAAAATAAAATGTATACTTGGTACTGCGGAAAAGAGAATATTACAATGCATAATTGGTTATAGATGATTATGTAAGATTTTTAAAAAAGGGAAAATTGTGTAGCTCTCAGTAAAGACATAAGAATCAGTCTCATTTTGTCGTGGAGATTTTGTCAACCCAAAATCAAGGACATAAGAATCAGTCTCAGAAACAGTATTAAAGCTTTTAATGTGGAAGACGATATACGGAGATCATGTTCCTTCAGGACCAGTTTATATTCAAGGGTTATGCAAAGCAAACATCATCAACTTATGTATTCTGCTACTAGACAAATCACTTCCTTGCTACTTTGTTTCTAGTTAATTACTTTCTTAGATAATTTGGACTGGTTTAATTGTTTTGTTCATTAAGCTATGAATCCCATTGTTAACCTGATGCATATTCTTGTTGTTGAAAGCTCTGGTAACTTTGTGTTTTTTGTGTTGATTTTCATGTACCGGCATCAGCTTGGTGTGGGGCATTCGATGAAGCACCTTGGAACTTTACCTTAATGAAGAGATCCTGGCTTAAAAGAAAGAATTTGGATGCGCAGAATTTGGCCGCAATGAGAAAAAGTATATCTGGTAATTTTTCTGCTACTGTAGTGAACTTTCATGATATTTTCTAATGCTTCTTTCTAACAAGTATGTATTGGATACTTGTCTCAGCAATTACTGCAACTTCTCAACTTTGAATCTTCACAGAAGTTGTCTTGAGTTGTTGAGCTCTATTGTTGTCAATGCATTGCAGTGAGTTTGAAAGTGTCATGAATGAACCAGCTGGTAATCCTCCACACGCATTCCTTCTTAAAGCATCCTCGTATGGACTTTCAATCCGAGGACTTTCTGGAACTGTAGAGAACGGTTCTTCAAGTCCTAAAGGCTGCAAAACTTTACCGGAATCACCGTCAATTTCATCAAAAAGTGCCATCAATAAATCAATTGCTTCATTTGTCAATTCAAGACCCTGATCGCTTTTTCCGTCTGTTGACGGTGGCATTTCTTTCTCCATACAGCTAAATTTTTCGTACTTTTGGCTAGGATTTTCAGTTTAACTTATACTGTTTTTAATCTTCTTTCCAGGAAATTGCAGTTGCACATTGCTTATCCGCAGAGGGGATTAATTCAGGGGCACTACAATCTCCTCAACAAATGTTGTCAATGTCATTTATCGCAATTGATGTTTATGCAAAGCTTGTCTTCTCAATCTTGAAGGTTGTCAACTTTACATTTCTTTTGTTTTCTCTTCTCTTGAGTAGTTATCTTATTAGCAGTTTGATGGGTGTTTGTGACAGGGATCAAGCAAACTCTTTCTTCTCTCCAAGGTATGTAATAAACTAAAACATCAAATTTTGTCTGTCTCCCTTTATTAATTATGTTATGGTGGTCTAAAACCGCAGATTGCTTTCTTGCAGATTCTAGCTGTTACTGTTAGATTCATTGTAAAAGATGCTGAGGAGAAGAAGATCTCTTTTAATCCAAGACCATTTTCCAGGCTGTTCATCAACTGGCTTCTAGACCTTGGCTCACTTGAGCCTGTTACTGATGGTGCAAATCTCCAGGTGTTTGTGACTTTCATTTATCCTTCTTTACTTTCTTTTTATTTTGGGTACAAACATGGGGTCAAAGCCTTTTCTCCATTAGTTTATATTCTAGAATGGTCATAATTTTGTTCTAGGTGTTGGTATAATAATGTTTTATGTATTATTACTGTTTTTGGTATTATTACTGTTTATTTATGTATTTATATGCATATAATAAGGTTTTGTTTGTTCGCCATGCTTTCGCAATTTTCTGTTCCACCATCCGCCCTATTTTTATGGCGGATTTTTGGTTTCCGCTATTTTCAGCAATCCGCCATAGACAACACTGAGTTTGATGGATTTTAAGATGAGGCCAGGGTTTGAAGAGAAAATTTGTCCTTTTTTTAGTGTTATTTGATAGTTTGGTTGGTAAATTGTACCCTGATCAGGTACACATTTCAAAGTTAGAATTAGATCATCAACCAGCTTCACATCTATGTTATATCCACACCTTCTGAGCACAGTCCATGATCATTCACACCTTCAAACACAACTATATGCATAACACTTTTTATTAGATTTTCAAGAAAAAATAAGCTTAGTTGTTGTTATTCTATGATGATAATTCTGTAGAGAATTTATACCTTTCTCACTGTTGTTTATTGTTTGTCAGGTTTTTGTAGTGAGTGAACTTTTGCCATGGCTGTCGAAAGATCTGGAATTGCTAATGATGTTACTAAAGTCAGTTTATGTTCCTTCATGATGCTCATTTTTGTGTTGTCTGGTAGATAACTAACATATTCTTGTTTTTCAATGTTTGGTTGGTGTAGTTGATTGGAAAAACCCCATTAGTGTATCTAAATAAACTTATCGATGGTTGGTGTAGTTACCCAAGTTATTAATGCAGAAAAATGGGATAGGCATATGAAAGAGATACCATTTACTCTTAAAAAAGAAAGCAAATGGTAGAATACTGTAGAACTTCTAGGATATGCTAACCTCCCTGTACAAAGGCCCCACAAACTCACTCACTGAATGTCCTATTCCCTACCTTTCCTCTCTTCGTTATTGTTTCTAGCCGTTCCCCTTCCTACCCTCTTTTCATTGAAGACATGATTTTTACAATTAACATCCCTCTTTTCATTGAGGACATGATTTTTACAACTACTATTGGATCTCAATTCTGACTACTATTGTTGAGGCCAATAAAGCACTGTGTTACTTGTCCTGAGTTAATTTTTCTTCATATACTTTGCTTTTAATGAACTTTTTAAGGAATATGAATAACCAGCAAAATTAATACATTGTCAATAGGGTCATAATGGTTCTAGAGGAGCATGGAACCATTGTCAATAGCAAAGTCTTTGAGATGAATGGTAAGAAACAAGGTCTGGTTTAGTTTGAGACCGAGGAGCAGGCTACGGAAGCCCTCGTGTGCAAGCATGCCACCTCACTTTCCGGCTCAGTACTTATTCATACATATAGTTCTCACACTTATCAAGCTTGTACCTGGAAACTCTGCAGGCACCGTCACTGCTTACTATGTAAGAACAAATAACTCTTGCTATTTTAATGCTTATTATATGCTACAATAATACTAATAAGTGATATTTCAAAATTTGTAATTATTTATTTTTAATATGGCATGATGCAGTTGTCATCGGTACTGTCAATATTTATGTGTCAAAAGATGGTTTTTGATAGGTTTCTCAGTACTGCTTCTAATATAAATGTTCTCGACAGGTTTCTCAGTACTGTCAAAAGATGGTGGTCTCATTGGTTAGGAATGGAAATTGGGAGAACTGGAAGCATATAGATAGTTCTTCTTTGCTTGGAATTACAACTGCAAAAGATGGTGGTCTCATTGTCTGTGATATGCTACCTTGGTAAGAACTGTATACAATTCATGTATGTATGTATTGAATTGTAAGAAGTATATATTAATGGTGCATGCATGATTGAATAAAAAATAATTATATGTTTGCAGGGATTGCTAAAGGTTACAGAAGAAGATGGTTTCAGTGTTATCCTTTCACAAGTTAATGGTTCTCATTACTGACTTTGTTGAAAAATTTCCACTGTCAAGTGTAAACTAGTGTTGTTCGGAATTCAGATCTTATGTGTATTGATATATATGGTTTAGACCAAGCAAATCTAATACAATACTATCCATGTAATTTAAAATCATTTATAATTTTCGTAATGTCGTAAAATGCAAATGCCATATATATATATATATATATATATATATATATATATATATATATATATATATATATATATATATATATATATATATATATATATATATATATATATATATATATATATATATATATATATATATATATATATATATATATATATATATATATATATATATATATATATATATATATATATATATATATATATATATATATATATATATATATATATATATATATATATATATATATATATATATATATATATATATATATATATATATATATATATATATATATATACAAAAAAATGATTTGGTGTAAAAAAAGTGTATTACAATAGTGTTTTGAAGAGAGCGTGCTATAATAGCGCTTTGTTAGAAAGTGCTATCAAAATTAAAGCAATTTATCGGTATTCTAATAGCGCTTTGTTTGAAAGTGCTATCGAATATGTGGATTATAATAGCGCTTTCTTTGAAAGTGCTATTAAATATGTGTCTTATAATAGCGCTTTATTTGAAAGCGCTATTAAAAATGTGTACTATAATAGCGCTTTGTTTGAAAGTGCTATCAAAATTAAAGCAAATTACCGGTGCTATAATAGCGCTTTTTTTGAAAGCGCTATCAAATATGTGACTTATAATAGCGGTTTTGTAAAAGCGCTATTAAATACAGGTCCTATAATAGCGCTTTTGAAAAAGCGCTATTAATTACCAAAACTATAATAGCGCTTTTAAAGCGCTATTAAAAATTTTGTTTTACAATAGCACCTTGATTAATAGCGCTTTAAAGCGCTATTAAAAAGCAAAAAAAGAGCTATTAAAAAACTTTGTTTTAGTATATACAAATTTTGTAAAATAATAAATTTATAAAAATAATAAGTGAGATAAAAAAATATTTGATAAATTTATAATTAATATGAGCCATTTTTACTGCAAGACAAAATATTAGTTGATTTTATAGTTTAATACTTTTTTAGTTTTAAAGATTCTATGATAAGTGAATTAAGGAATTGTTAGCATATATTGAGAATTTTTAGTGGGCTAATACATATGAAAAAAAAAGATTTTGTATAACCATGTTGAATGTTTTATTATTATTTATGTATTTTATTTTATGTTAAATTTTTAATTAAATATAAAATGATAATATCTTCATTAATTTGAGTTTTTATCACTATTTAAAATATGTAAAATATGTTAATGGTATCATATTTAGGAAGTGTTTGTAATGAAGCAAATACAAAATAATTTTTTAACTTATAAATTCAAAACATGATTGAGAATGATAAATAATGTATGAACATTTAAAAAAACTAACGGTTAATTATTTTTTTCTGAATTAATTTAAATTGTCACAAAATTTGAATGCCATATGAATAAAGTAAAACATAAGCCAGACCCAAAACTAAAACAGATTCCTAATGCTGTAACTTCAACGAATATTCTGGGAAAATGTGCTCCGAATCTAACTTCGACTCCAACACGAAAGCCGTAGCTCTCTCTCTCTTAGCTTTTCGGGGATTTTTAGAACGCCTCAAACGGATTCCCGAAACTCTAGTTATGATCGTTTTCGCGCAGACTGCTAAAGGTGAAAAATAAAGTGCGAAAATCAAATTAAACCAAAAATAAAATAAAATATAAAAACATAATAAAACAAAAAAATAATCAAGATAAAGTAAAGAAATGCCTAAGTAAAAATATAGGAGAATGTGCATAAATATGAACGGATCAAATTCCTCCACACTTGAAATTTTGCATTCCGAGAAAAATTAAAATAAAACAAAACAAAGAAAGCACAAACAAATCAACAGTTACTCATTTCAGGCTACAAGTCTTCTTCGGTTAAGTTTGCATCGATGGATTTGGATCCTTTCCTTTTTTATATATCATGCCATCTCTCATGTTTCTAATCTAACGGTTCAGAATTTATAATAAATAATTAAATAAAAAAGGCCATTTAATAGAAGAGAGAAATAGATAAGTAATTTGTCTTTGTTATTTATTTAATTATTCATTATAAATTCTGAACCATTAGATTAGAAACATAATAGATGACATGATATATAAAAAAGGAGAGGATCCAAATCCTGCATCGATAGGTACTAATCTTACACACTAAGGATATTGTAGGAACACTAATCTACAATTATGCAGTCATAAACCTCCTAAATATGCAAATCAACTCGAATCATGTTATTATGCTGAAGCCTAACTTACTCTTCCTCCTTTTTACTCTTTTTCATTCAGGCGCAATCACATTAAGCCCGTTATCTCCACACACTCATAGCAAGGCGACCTATTAGTGACTCTGATCCTTTTTGTTTGGGGTTCTGGAACTTACGTGGCATAACCCTCTGCTGACTCAATTGTAGTTGCGGGGGATCGGACCGTAAAAAAAGTTTTGATAGAATTGACGTTAGAACTCTTCACATTTAATCAAAATTGAATCAATCTTCCTAATGTTTTATCATATTCATCTTTACTGTTTGTGAAACAATCTATTATTAACATGATCAAAATTAGTATAATTTTTACATTTTTCCTTCAAATCTTCTGCTCACATTTTTTTTTTTTTGTAAATACCCTAATAATTTTCATAAATGGCTGAGTTTTTCCAATACTCATATACAACATAATTATTCTGAAATAAAAATTGTCTAAGTTAATCTAACTAATCTCTGTATACTCTAATACACTTAAAAATCTAACGATGGAGAATATAAGAAAAATATATTAAATTAACAACAAATAAATGTTGACCGCTATAGACTAAATTCGTGATTGGTAAGTGATGAAAAACAAAAATTGATCAAACTAAGACTCAGGAGTAGATTCAATTTTAATTTCTTTTTTCTATAAAATTTTAAGCTATAGTTTGTTTAATTATATTTAAAAATAAACTAAATTAAAGGAATTGACCTCTATTGTTCCTTTT